CTGTATAAGAACTTGCTTTGATGATTCACTGGCTAGTGTCAGTGAGTAAGTTTCATTAATGACACAAAATGATACATTATTGCTAATGAAGTGAGTGATGTTATCAGATAACACCAGCACAATATCATCATCCAGTGAATGAATCTCATTACACAAGAACTCCTCCAACTCATATTCACTAGTTATATTAATCTGTTGACTGGAAACTGACAAAAGAACAAAAGAGAGAGCAAGAATAGTAAAATACATGTTTAATTTGACTACAGCGACTTTACAACTATTGATTTATAAAGGTTCTCATTGTTTACTATAGGGAAAACTGTGTTGACAATGGGGAAATGCTTTCAATAGTTAAAAGTAGCACTCATAAAGCAACTAGTTTCAATTACTTTGTGCTTTGTAATGTTATGAAAGCCATCAGGATATGTGTGCGTGTAAACATATAGAAGTTATTGAAACTCAGAAATATATTTTTTATTCATGCCAATCAATATTTAATGTTAAGTGTAAATTCAGTGTTAGATCTATAATGCAGCTACTGTAGGTATCATTTAAGTGTTAGAATATCAGTGCTCAGTAATGTTTTGAGAATTATATCATAGAAAAAATGAAAGTGAAAAAAATACAATGCTTGACTGACTGACTATTATAATGACAATACTGAACAATTATCTGTTTACTTTAATGAAAGTTATGTTTACAAATTTTGTTTCAAACTGAAAGTAAATAAAATTTCTCATCAATGATTGTTATGATAACAAACTTGTTGCTATTGAAAACAATATAAAATAACTTGAGTATTTATAGCATAAACAGAAGCATATGCATGTCCACTTTCAAGAACAACAACATCTATACTAATTGTCTGTTCGATTAAAACATCAACTTATCATTATCAATATTGTGTACACATTAAAAAGTATAACACAACTAACTAACTATGATTATACTTATAATCAAAGTAAACACTATTAATTATGAGTTAAGAAGTGGTTCTCTTTCATTGCACGACTGATAAAAGGAATCACATTCATTTAAATTCCTTTGATGAGCAAGTGGACGATTAAACTTAAACTTGGTATTGACAAAAAGCTCATTTATTCTGTTTAAGAGTTTCTTTCCAAATGAAAATTGACCCATAATAACACCAAGCAAAATGATAATGATGATCAAATGACAGAATGTAGCTAGAATTGCCCAATTAATACTACCAGTGACATCAACAATAGACCAAAAAGAACAAAGGAGAATAATGATATCTGAAGAAATTACTGTACTGAGGACATTAAGGTGCATGCTCTTGAAAGGATGGGAAAATCCAACTATATTCAAGTACAAGCAAATAACTGAAACACCAACTACTATACCAAGAATTGGATTAACACCAATAGAGATAGTACTAATTAAATATGTAAGAGCAATAAAAATTGTAGAGAATGAAAAAAGGAATTCTCTATTTGGTTTATATGGAGCATGTATTGCTTCATAAATTGGACGAAGATATCCC